CCGTTTTTCTTTCTAAATCTGGATTAGCAGGAGAAAATATTTTTGGAAATAGTTCCATGGGCTCAGCATCTCTGATAAATTCGGTAGAGTACTCTCTTTCCTCCCAGAGATGGTCACTAATTTTATCTTTTGTGTTGTTATAAAAGGGAATTATTATAGGGAAATACCAGCACAGGTCCTCATAAGCCTGCTATTCAAGCTAACATTATAGACTGTTGAGTTCACAGTTCTCAACAGACTGGCATAGGTTTCGACAAATTTTGCTATGGGTCTCACACATAAGATCTGGATAAGGGTTTTCCTTTTGTCTTGAGAACTTGCTTTATTCTCTCTGGTCTCCACCATGCAGACAAAGCACTTACTGGGGTATACCTTGGTAGCCAAGTTAAGAGTGGAGTTCTAAGACAAAGTTGCTAGTGGCACACTCTATCTAGCCATGACAGCCCTCCGAACAGTAAGTCATAACAGGTTCTAGTCCATAAGGGACTTTTGTGTTCTTAACCTTTGTGCTTTGTTAGTGCTGAAGTGTCCCATTTCAGTAGCACCTGCCTGGTGTCACAGATTAGTAGGTCTATGACTGGAGGCATTTCAGGTTTTTATAGGCGACCAATGACACTGTTTTCACTGAAGCATCCTTACTGCCTGTGTAACAAAAGCATCTGCTTTCTTACACTACTTCTGGGAATAAACTTTTAGATCATGGGGACTGCATCATCTATGCCCTCCCCAGGGATGCCACTTGCATCCATGGCCTAAGCCTAGAACATGTCTCTGGGTCTTTCCATAAAAAGGCTTATTTGTTTGAGTTGCTTTAAAATTAGTAAGATCCTGGACACCTGGCTCAGTTGGTTAAGCATCTGCTTTCAGCTCAGGTCACGATCCCAGGGTTCTGGGATCGAGCCCTGTATTGGGCTCCCTGCTCAGCGGGAAGCCCGTTTCTCCCTCTCCCATCTATCCTTACCTTCCCTCCTTGTGCTCTCTCTCTCAAATAAATACAATATTTAAAAAAAAAAATAGTAAGATTCTACTCATAAATGGTCAGACAATAAATCTTTTAAACTGGCTACAATTCAAAGGAAAAAAAAATCCTTATACAGAGCTCTCAATTACCCTATTAGTATACTTACTAGGGTTAGGGACTTAGGGACTCCCTTAATAAAGTGAAAGAACAGAAGTTAGACTAAGACAAAAACTGACGTCCGCATCCAAGGTAAATTCTTCTTAAAAACCAGCTCCGTCCGTCCGCCTGTTTTAACTTCCCCTTCCTTATAAGATTTACCAAGAGCACTCTAGCCTATCTGCTAGAGTCAAAGTATGTAGGTTACTCACATAAATGCTAAAACTCATGAAGTGAATATAACAGAACCACTGAGGACATGTGATGAGGCTCACTTTGCTATTTCTTAAAACTCCTACTTCCTAAAGCTCTGCAATCAGGCTCTGCCAGCTTTAGGCATTCTTATGCCATGTCCTTTGCAGATGTACCCTAGATCCACTCCTCCCGACCCAAACCCAGGAGGGAAAAAATTTCATGTCCCCTGGATAGCAGCAAGTCTTATAAAGCCCAATTTTACCTCCACTTTTAGAAGATCCCACCAAATTTAAAGAGAAATTGGAAAGACTAGTAGCCATTCACATCCTCCCCACTACCAAAGAAAACAGATGACCATAATTTTTCCTGGCCCTCCTACAATTCAACAGCAGAAGGCTGATATTCAGGGTCTAAAGAAGCCAAGATTGAATTGTGAAGAAAGAAGGCTTTTGTTAAAATGATTTATACAGACTTTTTCTTTTTTTTTTTTTAATAAAGATATAAATCTTCTGATTCCTACTTTATTTGGAAATCTCCCTCATCTAAAGAGGCAAGTTTAGTTAAAAAGGCTAATCAGTCTCTTGATATTCAGGCTGTAATTCAGTTCTTTCTGGGAATTAGCAACAACTTTGCCTGCTAATCTCTACAAAACCAGAAATACAACTCTAGAAGCAACGCCCCCCACCCTGCCTGCCATCTCTACCAATCCCAAAACCTCACCGATTCCTCTCAAAATGCTTATAGGTATTATAAAAAACTAGGATACTGAAACAGAATTGTCCTGTACTTAAGAAAAGGAAAGAAAATTCTAAGTAGCAATTACCCTATAATTCTTAGGGGGTGGGAGGAGCTTTCATTCTTTCTCTTAAAGTTGTAAATCTTTTATCTCTGAAGTGTGAACACAGCCTGCAATTGTCTAAGTAAAGGAAAAAAGAAGAAAGTAGGTCTTTCTAAAAAATAAAACTGCAAAAGGGTTCTCTTGCCCCCTTTCTCCTCAAATATTAATAAAAGTAAGGTTTCTGCATCTGTCAGTGTGTGTCTATTGTGGCTATACGGCATTTTCTACCACCAGTTAGAATTGCTAAAATTAATTTGTAAAAGAGCTCTATTTGATTGGCTTAAAGAAAATTAAGCACTTACATATGTTTTGTATTCATAAAAATTCTCAAAATAAAAAAAAAAATCCAAATTTAAATTCACGTGAACTGGGAAAATATTCAGTATTAAAACTAACTTAAGGTTAAGAAATTAGGAATATGTCTCACATAAATTTAATTCTTAGAACAGCTAGAAGAACCTTGAATAATCGAGGCAATTTTTCCTCTCTCAGAAGAAATAGAAGTGCTGGTCATCACAGAGGGTAGATGACTGAAGTCTTGTCTAAGACATCAAAATCTTTGTATCACCCATAATTGGTGTGAGTTGAGAACCACCACAACCACTACTACAAGACGTAGTATTTATTGAAAACTTGACTATACACACACACACACACACACACACACACATACACACACACCAGACTTGTTTTATAAGTATTTTATATTCATCAAATCAACTTTACAACAACACTAGGACAAGTATTGATTATCTCCATGGAAACGGACAGAACTTACCCAAGGCCATAAAGCAATTAAACCTTAGAAACAAGATGTGATGTCAGAATCTACACCTATAAAACCACTGTAATATACTAGTTTTATACTAGTATATATAACTAGTATACTAGTAATATATACTATGTATACTATACTGGTATATATATATAGTATATACTATACTAGTATACTAGTTATATATACTAGTATATAAACTAGTAAATACTAGTTTTCAGTAAATTAGGCTGAATTTCCTGTCACTATAGAAAGATGGGGACTCCAGAGTTTTATAAATTTATTTTTTAAAATATTACTTTTTGCATATCTAACAGAATCACATGTTCTAAGGAATAATTTTACTTAGATCTTGGCTCACTATTCTTGTCATAATAATTTTGAAATCCCTTAGATGATCCTTTTAACATTCAAGTTTCTTAATTTCTTTAATTCATCTCTTTCCATGACCCTGTTTTCACTCAACTACCATGTTTAGATCCTAGAACTTATAATCACTAATTACTGTATTCTCTATGCCTTTGTCAACTTGTTACTTTATTCTGTTATTTCAACCTCCCAAACTTCTACTTCACAACTCTAGTAAATAACTCAACATATCTTCAATCATACTATAATCTATAATTGATCATACCACTTTCCCATTGTTTCTCAACCTTCATTTTCTCACTTTGCTCTTTACCCAGATCTCTATGTCTTTTCTTTATAATCATTTCCTTGAATATACCAACACCTTTTCCTTTCTCCCACTTTGTTGTATTCATCTAGGAAAATCCCAACTTTCATTAAATTCAACTCTTGTCTACTTAGTGATAGCACCAAGGCTAAACATAATTGAAAATACAGAATCATTTGACCAGTCTTACTTAAATTAACAGACTTCAACTGACCTCTTTAAGTACCGTCTAGCCATCTTTCTAATAATCTATTCACTCTGCCACTTCCCTAAGTGTCTATTTTATACCTTCTTTTCTTTCCACAATCTAATACTCTTTCCTTCTGTGACCCTGCTTCCTATTTCAACTTTTACATGCTCCTCCTATATATCTAGCAAACTACAAATATCTGGACCTTCATAATCTATCCTTTCTCCCACTGCTATTATGTTTACACGTCCATCTTTAAAACTAACTTCATTTGTATACTGTATTTATAGCTCCTCCTTCTCCCTCCTGCATCATATTTGTCTTTGCATTAACAGCCCATTTCTCCATCCCTCTGAGAGCAAGACTCTCCAAGAGTTGCCTTCAAAATTCTCACTATATTAAGTTCCTCTCAACCATTCTCTTTAATACCTCTTCTCATTTCTTCCATTCATCGAATGTTTGTCAAAAAGAAATCTGTCAAGAACAGATCTGATACATTTCACCACCCCTTCCTACCTGAGATACCTTCATTTGGCTTCTACCTCTTCTTCATATACCTGGTATCTAAAACTGAGCATGTCCTAGGCTTCACTTCTCCATACTTCTAAATTATATCTTTAAAATTCCTATTTTCCTTACTTTTACAATGCTTTGAGGAAAAAGCTGTGATTCACAACAGCATTCCAACAAAGACCAAGTCTTTGGGCATTGATTCTGGTCAAGTTATTATTATATACTCACAGGACAGTATTAGTAAGAATTAAATATATAAGTTTCCTTCTTAACACATAGATGAAGGTAATTTCACTAAGATAACAGATTTTTGTAAGGGAAACATTTACAACCTTAGGTGATAATCTGATCGATTTGGGGGCACCAAAATAAAAGTCTAAATTAGGGCAAGATACAAATTCCCTCAAGCGGGGGAAATCTCCCACTACTTAAAAACAACAACAACAACAAAAACAAAAACCAACAATAAAAAAACAAAATTCATAGCCAGACAAATATAACCACTCCTAAAATAATTATAAGAAGAAATAATATTACTATAAAAAAGCATGTTTAAGTGCATTGGTATGCAGGTTAAGAGTGAAAAAAGGGCAGTATCTGTAATCATAAAAGAAAATTTCTTCAAAATTTTATGCAATTATCAAACTACACTTTCCAAATATGGTAAACATAAAAAAAAATAAGAACATTACTTTGTTGGAAAGAAAATAATTTATTATATATGAGGAAGAGGATTAAAATACATGTAATATATCTCCAATAAACTGATTTAAATGCATATAGATTTAATTTTTAAATATACTTTAAAAGCTGTTACGCACAGTTCCATAATCCAGGTGTCACTTTCTTTTCCTTAAAGTTGGAAAGCAGTTGGAAGACATGGAATCAAAAGGAACCTAAAACACCATAAGAGTTCATTAAAAATAATTATGATTATAACACAGTTTATTAGTTTTAAAATAACTAAAAGCTAACATGTTTATATTTAGAAAATTAGTGAATCATGTCAGTACTAAAAATTTTTAATTGTCTAAATAAACAGCTTATACAGAAACTGATTAACATTAAAAAAGAACCATTTTAACTGTCTCTACAAAAAAACAGCAATTTCAGTATCTATAAATTTGTATACTCTTGAGTGATTAAAATTATTAACAGAATTTTTATTGTTTTCCTAGTACTAGCAATAGCAGGATTTGCAAGAAATGCAGAGGCTCCAATTCTTGATTTTCCTACATAGAGAAGGTTGGATGGCTAGGTTGTAGTAAGCATCTAACCATCTTAATCTAACAAACTAGTATCCAAACTGGTCAGCCCTTGGAACTACTAAAGACACCTTTTCAAAACAGACTCTTGGTCCCATTCCCAGAAATTCTGATTTATTAGTTTCAGGCGAGAGTCCGGGAATCTCTGAATATAAAAATCCTTCCTCAATAGTTCTCAACCTGGGTCACACATTAGGAAGTTTGAAATACTCCAGGATCTATGCTGTACACCAGACCAATTAAATCAAAATGCGGAGAAACCCAGGTACATTTTAGCCTTTTCTTCCCTTCATCAGTTTTTAAGTTTCCCAGGTGATTCCAAAATGTGGCCAAGATTAAGAACCACTGTTTTGGGTAATTATGGTCATCAGCCAGTCTGGAAACCACTGTTACTACATATACCTGCCAGATTTTTTTTTTTTTTTTTTTTCACTTAATGTGCTACCCTGAGTCAGTATTATATTCTTCTTCCCTCTGTTCCTCTTTTCTCATTCCTTTTGTTTTGTTTAGAAAAAGAGGGGAAAAAAATACTTCTACTTGCTATCTGTCTCAAAGGAAATATCAATAATAAAACCTCAGAAGTGAAGTCTGCTACTCTTACTTGGAATTTACAAAGAAATTCAGTTATTTTAATTTCCAATATATACACTTTTTTAAAGAAAAAATCCTTTCCCCAAACCAATTTTACAATACATTATATAGAACACCTAAACCAGATATATCATAAAACAGAAAGCGTATGTTATTAAAACAGGTTTAGGAAATACATAAATATAAGAAACAAGACTAAATTCTGTGTTGAAGCAGATGCATACATTCTCCAAGTAAATAAGTTGACCTGATTCACTAACTTTCCCTGGAAAAATTGCATAACCTCAAGAACAGCATAGCAAATTCAGCAACAGATCTAAAAAATATGTAAGCGATTTGTCCAGTCAACATTGATAATTTTAGAAATATCTCATTGGATAAATTATAAAAAATTATTGCTTAATCTGAATCAATGAGTAGGGGAGGGACAAAACATTTCTAGGAAAAACAGAAAACACTGCCCCAAAAAGGATACAACAAGAAAGGATACACTTTGTATGACAGTAATACAGCAGTATTTACGCAGGAATGCTTCTAAAGAAGAACAGCAGAAGGCAGTTTAATTTTTTTTCTCAGTTTTCACACACTAGATTTATAAATAAATGATTTTTTTTTAAACACACAATGAAAACTGTTAATTTTTTAACTGTTCCACTAAGGTATTTGTAAGAATTCTGACATATACCAGTATAGATACCTCACAAAATTCAAATATTTAAAGCCATTTCACAAAAGAAATAAACATTAAGCAAAATTTTTCCTTAGTTATGTGATTTTTTTTTAGCTTAACACCATTAAAGTTGACTGAGTTACTTCATGTCCTTCCAAATATAAAGGTAAAAAGATTTAAAATAAAACAAAAATTGTTTCCACTCAAGTGTCTTAAATCAAATATAACACAAACTTTGAAGTTTAAAATGGTTAATTCTATCTTTTTTAACCATTAAATTACTTAAGAATGCATTAAAATTACTTGTTTGAAAGGCAAAAGATTTCATTCCACAAAAAAAAATGTAAATATTTCCGTGACATGTGTAATTAGTAATGCAAATTCAGAGGCCCTGTTAAGAGTGACCAACATGTCTTGGCTTGGTGGACATTTTCCCACCATCAGCACAGGAAAACTGGCATGATTGACTACACAAGGTTCCTACTCCAGACCTACTGAATCAGATACTCTGGGTGAGGGTGAAAAGAAGCCTAGCTAACTATTTTATCAGCCCTTCAGGTCACTGTATATATGTTAAAGTTTAAGAACCACTGCTTTCCTGTAGGTTGAAAAAGTTCTAAGACAAAGACATATTCCCCTCATAAATCCATTCTCCAAACTTAATTTTATATACAGATTGGCTTTAGTCTGTAGTTACAATTTTGAAATTTATTGGGAATTAGTTGCATAGTGAAACAAAGAGAGTGATAGAGACTTGGATGGATAGATGGATCAAATGATTAACTATCCTTTAAAAACCTTAGGAGATACCTGAGTTATAAAAAAGCAGGCTTTTATACTTCCTTTATTTTATCTCAAGAAAGTCTTGTTCTTTCATTATGTTATATCCACACTTACCTTCATTAATTTTTAACACTTTCTTTTTCCTTCTTTTGAATCTTGTTTTGGTCTAGCAGATCGAGCAAACTGCTAATATTCAAAAATTAAGGTTCTTTCACGAACAGGACAGTAATTTTCTCTAAATAATTATTAAGAACTACCTAATGTACGATAGGAGTAGTTTTTAAAATCTGTCTCTTACACCTGTCTTCCTACTCTCAGCCATTTGTCAAAAAAAATTTTTCCTGAGTGCCTCCTACCTGCTGCCCATGATTTACTGAAGTAAGAAATGTACCTTTCCTTCATAATTTTTTACAGCTGGACCTTGACTCCATCTATCCCACTGATTTCTATTTTTCAAACTACATTAACTACTAAAAGCAGAATGTTTAACCAATGATATATTTTGGTCATTAAAATTTTCAAATAGATATATGAATTATACTATAATAAAACATAAAACAAAACTACAATGAATCGTATCTTTTTTAACGACTCCAAGTGTATTTGTAGATACTGTAGTGTTTTAGGCTTAGCCTAAAAATGTGCTTCTGAGGTATATAAATGAAATGTTTAGACATGGCTAAATTTTAATACCTTCATGCCACTGAGGTTCCTTTATTTACACCCATGTGACCCAGTTAAGTATGTTTATAACTAATCTCAAGCCAGGTTGTTCAGTTTTCTAAAGGATAACTTAAAAATTAGTTTCAAGAAGCACCTGGGTGGCTAAGTTAAGTGTCTGCCTTAGGATCAGGCTTGATCCCAGAGTCCTGGAATTAAGCCCGGCATTGGGCTACCTGCTCAGCAGAGAGCCTGCTTCTCCCTCTCCCTCTGCTGCCACCCTAGTTCTGTTTGTGCTTTCTCTCTATCCCAAATAAATAACATCTTTAAAAAAAAAAATTAGTTTCACATAACCCTTCTACTAAAAAACACACTCTCTTTGGAATGGATTATTTAAAGGATACAACCACCATAGGTTTTCCGAAAAGAACATATCCATTAGCTTCCTTTAAGGCTTTTGCTGCTGCTTTTTCATTTGGAAGTCCAATGAAAGCTTGTCCTTTCATGCGACCTTCTTTCATCAAACGAATATCAAACCTAGACGTGAAGAAGAAAAAGAGATTTTGATTTGAAGAGTATCAAACAATTCTAATCACAGGAAAATGTGCTAAACATTTAAAATGTTTGCTATTTCAAAATTAAAATGACCATATTGTCTGATTAGAACATTACTCAGACTTTCTAGAGTTATGTTTTGTATACTGTTCTAAAATTGATTCTAAGTAAGTCTGATAATGAGCTTATACCTATCCTTCAAAACCACGTTAAGTGTATTTATATAATTTAAAAATTATAATACTAAAAACTATAAAAGCAAACTTAAATTTCTACTTCATATTTCAATGTTTAAAATCTTTCATACAGCCAACTCAATATTACCCACCCAAGAGACAAAAAAACAACTACATAATGAGAATAGAAAGGCTGAGAGGAACCAAAGAAAAGTAACACAGAACTTCAGCGTAGGAAATGACCTTATTTATCATCTAGTCAAAGTCACCATTGTACAGAAGTCTACAGAGAGTGACTTCTTCAGTCATAAAGATAGCTAAAATTAGAGCAAAAACACAAACTAGATTTTTTTATTCCAAATGTAATGTTCTATTATTCCATAACATATTCATTTATCAATACTTTTGGGAAAATGATATTCAAAAATCAGAAAAACCAGACCATAATTTACAACTAAAGTACTTCCTACAATCACAATAGTCTATACAGAGCATTAAAAAATGCAGCAATTTTTTAAATTCACACTAGTCCCAAGAAAAACAATTTATTTATGATTTTGATGTACATACAGCTTTCTCCACATATAGAACTATTTCAAATTCTAATTGCAGCAATACTAAAAATAGAAGAAATGGATGTATACAAATACTTATGTAAATGAAACATTTCACACATATTTTTTTTTCTGTTTCTTATAATCATGATTCAAAGGTAGCAACAAGAAAAAGGAGCAGTATTTTACAAGAGTAGCAAAAGAAACTTTTGGTATACTGCTAAGAAAAGAGATCTACTACTACTGAGTATAAACAGGCCAGATAAGACTTAAATACTAAAATAAAACTTAGTTCCAGTTAGTCCTCCATTTTACCTCCAACTCAAAGTCTGTCTCTTTACGTTTTCTACTTTTCCCTACTTCTAACTTATATGGCTGAGGGTCTTAGATACTTCGCAGCCAACTAATTATGGCAATTTAAAGAATGAAATTCTAACTCTAAACATTAGCTTTTATATTGTTTACAAATCATATGCCCTCCTTTTCCTCTTACAAAATTGGAAGCCTTGGTTAATGCAGACTAATTAAAAGAAGGGAAGTTACTGCCAAGGTTAAGAATCTGGAAAGTTTTGCCAGACTACAATATATATTCCTGAATAGGTCATTAATGCAGTAGTTTTCAAAGCATAGTCTTTGGACCAGCAGCTTTGGCATCATCCATCAGCTTTTTAGAAATACAAATTCATAGGCCCTACGTCAACCTAGATGGATCCAGGAAATGGTTTTACTAGGCTCTTCGGGTGTTTCTTATGCAGGTTAAAGTTTGAGACCCACTGCTTCAGAACTGGGCATTAAGGCTGGAATCTATGCTCCTTGTATAAATAAAGTTTTACTGGAACTCAGACATAAGTATTAATCTATTATTTATGCCTGCCTTCATGTTACAAAGATAGAACTGAGTAGCTCCGACAGACACTGTATGGCCTATAATAAAATAAAAATATAAAATGTTTACTATCTGTCCATTTACGAAGAATTCTGCTGACTAATGCTATAGTTATCTAAAAGTTATGCCACAGATAAGAGCAATTTTTTCCTGTAATTGTTATCTCTAAAGGGAAAGTGCTGGGATTAAATAAAGGGCTAATCTGTAACAGATAAAAACAAAACATAATTTGAGAGTATGACTCACATTATCCGTTGTGTTTCTGATGAAAAGTCAACATATCTCCCAAAAATATATTTAAGGTCCTAGAATTTTAATAAGAAAAAGACAAGTAAGAAGGTTCAGGGGGGAAAAAAAAGTAAAATAATACAGTCAATTGACAAATTTCAATTTACCTTTTCTTGCACATGTTTAGCTAAATTCTTTACATAAATTCTACAGTTTGGTTCACCCGGTTCGTAACTTCTGAAAACTGAGAGTGTTTCCATTTCTTATTTAAAAGCAAAACAAAAGGAGGACACACATTAGGATATTTTCATTAATTTTCTCAAAGAAAAACTGTAAGAACATTCAAATACAAGTGTTAAATAGAACAAGCATTATAAAAATTTCAAAACTATAACCATTAATAGCAACGTTATTAATAAATATACTCATTAAAAATCTGTATTGATAATATGAAAATAAACTTAAAAATTTCAGGTCACCTAGAATAACTAAAATCTATTCAATGAAATATCTACTATTGAAACTCCTTTACGATAAAATAACCTTATTAAAAAAAATAAAGCAAATAAATGTTATCAATCATTTGTGTCACTGTCTTGCTTAAAGTTAATTTCCCAAACCACCAGGTACCAACACAGTCAAATGTAAGAAACCTAATTTCATACAAACTGTGGCTTCTGAATCCCTATACCACTACTTGTAGTATCAATAATCAGTTCCTGACAACAGATGTTCTATGTAAAAATGCTAGTTGGAAGTTTATTTCCCATTATCATGGGAAATACTATAAAATGTTGAGTCAGTCTAAAACCCCTAATTTCCTAAAATGTACTAAAACAGAAAAAATTATTTTAGAAGTAAAAAACCTATCATGTTGGGATATAAAATCCTTAAACACAGATCTTCAATTACCAAATAATTGAAACTGTTTTTTTTTTTTTTTAAACAACTGCTTTGCATGTTCCTCAAACATAGAATTGTAATGATATATCCACCGTATTTGGAATACAAAATTCCAGACCATAGACCACTTGATTTTTTAAAATATTATATATAAAAAGTTTTAGGAATGAAAACAAAAATATTTTTTCCAATCATAGATAGACTGAAAACACTTTATTGAGACACATTTTCCTCCCTACAAAATATGGGTATTAAAACCAAAAGCAGGGTGCCTGGGTGGCTCAGTCATTAAGCATCTGCCTTCGGCTCAGGTCATGATCCTAGGTCTTGGGATCGAGCCTCACATCTGCTCTGCAGGGAGGCTGCTTGTCCCCCTACCATTCCCCCTGCTTGTGTTCCCTCTCTCACTCTCTCTCTATCAAATAAATAAACAAAATCTTCACAAAAAAAAAAAGGCAGTGATTAAAAACATTATTTGGAAAGAGGTTTCATATGCCTTAATTAGGTAAAGAACATGAAGAGATTTGTTGTTTCTGATGCATGAGAGAAATGGAATAAGCACCGGTCTATTTCATGAAATTACCTTCTCTAGAAATTCTGCCTTTTTCCAACTCTCTTCTAGAAATACATTCTGATGGCATTTCATCACAGTCCTCTTTAATCTCTTCTGTGATGTTCAAATTAGGTTTAGGGAAGATTTTTCCAAATCCTACACTGGGTGCATCACCTTCAGCAGCAGGTAAATCTAAAAGTTAACATTAACATCAGCCATTAAAAATTCCCTCCCTTCAAAAAAGGTTTTGTTTTCCAATTTTAGTCTTTAAAATATCTTTTGGTACTAAAATTCTTCAGTGTTTTTCTCAATGCTTTAGAACCAAGTAGACAAACTTTTTCTGTAAAGGTTTAAATAGCAAATATATTAAGCTTTGCAGGCCATGTGATTTCTGTCATGGCTATTAAAACTCTGCCACTGTATTATGAAAACAGCCAGACAATAGCTAAACAGCGAAATGATTGCTTTGTGGTGCTACTCATAGGGCCTGCAAGGTGGAAAGAAAATGAATTCTTTTTCAATGTATTTAGTCTGAGGTACCAGAGGGAAACCTCAAAAAGGTAAAATGTATTGGGCAAGATAGGCAGAATGTGCGCGTGCACGCGCGCGCGTGTGTGTGTGTGTGTGTGTGTGAGGGGGTCAATAATAAGTATTATGTTTAACCTGTCCACTTTGAACTATTAGTAATTATATGAAAGAAATTTGTAGCAAAGGCATTCATTCTGTAATGGAATGTGGTCACTCAACATTATTTATACAATGGATTTGAAGACTTCATAGTGCTACACCAGAATATAATTAAATAGCCTTCAATCTTCAGTCTTATCAAAGATGATTAAAAGATTAAGATCAGCACAAATCCTGAAATCGTAAGACAAATGGAAATTTGAGGATACCAAAAAACCTTCATCAATCCTCTTCCCACCCTCCCACCAAAAAGAAACCAATTTTACTCCTGGATCCTATAAGAAATAAAGAAAAACAAGTATTCACACTTTAAAAATTACTCAACTAAGAAAATTCAAAAACACTGCAAATTTTTAATTTTAGCAATATAATGGATTTCATTTATAAAATATGAATTTTAGCTTCAGCAAAAATTAAACTGCACAGTAAGGGTAAGGTTAAATATTCACTAGAAAAATTCTAGTCATACTACCAAAAAACAAAAAACTAAAAAGCTATGAAAATGATGCAAAGAACATGCTAAACTTAGAGGATTATAAAGTCTCTTCATCATGTTGAAAAACTGTTGTACAAATAGATCTCCTGTGGCCTGGAAGTATTAATAAGAGAAAAACTTAAGACTACTTCTACTGTTATTTCAACATTACTACCAGACAGGGATATCATGGTAGGGCTGTCACCATCTCCTAGTGGTCTACACCCTTGAGTAAATTAAGTTTAAAAAAGTAAAAATTAGTGTGTAGGTGACTAACATGAAATAAGAAACAAAAATATACAAAAAGAAAAATATAAATATTGAAACAAAAAAGGAGCTATCTGTGCCCTACCTATATTCATTTATTCAACAAACAATAATAGCTAATATTTAGATATATGCACCATGCCAAGCATTTTACTTGAATCATCTTGTTTGTTTCTCACAGCTGGTGTTTATCAGCTACTCTTATGTGATAGGCACTGTGCTCTGGAGCAGGGGTTCTGCACATGCTACCCCTCTGGTAGAGATTATGATCCGATGGCTAACCCAAGCCCACCCATAATGGCAGCAGGCCAAGACAAGAGTACAGATGGAGGCCTCATACCACACGTTGAAATATTGTAAAGTTAAAAATCAAGTTTAACTGTTAAATAAAATATGTTCTATTCTCCTTAATAATAATAGGGGAGCTATCTGAAAAGGCAATACCTTCTCATTAACCTTGTAAAAGCGGAATTAAAATCAGTTTTTCCACTCACTACATTTCCAACACTTACTTGAACTCTAACTGCGTAGTCACACAAATGCTCAAAGATATATATGCAAAAATATATGTTCCAGTAGTTTCTCAGATAGTAAAAAAAGACAATCTTCTACCAACAGAGCATGATTACAGATTGATTTAACTGTACTATGTAGTATTATGCAACCATAAAAAAAGGTACGTATTTTTATGTTGATACATTAAGCTACTCCCTCTAGACTTTAAACTCCTAAAAATCAGAGACCACATTTAACTTGTTCTTTAGTGCCTAGCATAGAGCCTGCTATACTGAATGCTTTCAATAAGTCAATATTAAGTCAATGGCAAACACTACATAAAACATTATGCCCACTTAAAACTAGAGGAGAAAATGTGTTTACACATGTATAGAGAATAAGGTCCAGAAGAATAGCTATATTCTAAATTATTAACAATGGTGGTGAGACAGAGGACAGTGGGGTTTGAAGTGGTAAAACTTTTTAAATTTTTTACTTTATATGCTTTTTGTTACCTTTTCTGTAAGTTTGTATTATTTATGAAATTAACAAAGGAATTTCACTATAGTATCAAATTAATGCCTAAAATTAACAGAACAAATATCTGCAATTTTAATAAATTGTCTTTAAAGCTAAAAACAGGGGGCGCCTGGGTGGCTCAGTGGGTTAAGCCGCTGCCTTCGGCTCAGGTCATGATCTCAGAGTCCTGGGATCGAGCCCCGCATCGGGCTCTCTGCTCAACAGGGAGCCTGCTTCCTCCTCTCTCTCTCTCTGCCTGCCTCTCTGCCTGCTTGTGATCTCTCTCTGTCAAATAAATAAATAAAATCTTAAAAAAAAAAAAAAAGCTAAAAACAGTACCTTAGTAATTAATCTCCAATGTCTTTTGGATAAAAAACAAAAATTTAAATGAAATCTACAATACACACAATAGTCAGTTTATTTCCTCAACTATAATACAAATGTACTAATAAAATTACAGAACATCACATCTAACAATGAAAAAAATAAATCACTAGCAGAACTATTTCATTGTATTTTTAGTATCAATATCAGCAAAAACCAGACTCCATTTTCACCCTAAAATTCACTTCTAGCAAAAGGCAACAGTGATGGTTTCATCATTAAGTATTTATTTTAGTTATATGAAAAAGTTCAATATGGATAATATTCCACAATATTAAGGAAGATTAACTGCAAATATTAAAAATTTAATTCTAACACAAAAAGCAGAATGAGAAGAATTTTTACATAGTATATTAGAGAACTAGAATATGCTTACCATAATTCTGTTCTTCACAATTTTGTTCTTTTTCTAGATCTTTCTTAAATGCAGATGGCATGTCAGTAGATATATGAAATTCAATTTTCTTACTACCTACAGGTTGTGGTTGGTCAAATACATCCGAAGGTAACAGAACTGGATGTAAACTGCTGTTTATAAATAGTGACAGCATTACTTTCCAACTGCAAATAAAATCCTAAGTAAAACATTATTACTATTTACCTTAAATTAACACTGACAAAGCACTCATACTACAGACATTGCACAAAATAACTTACATTTAATAGTTCAATAAACCCTAATAAATTTTCTAATACAGATACTATTAAATTATTAGTTAAACAAGGAGACTGAGATTAAGAAATATCACTCACTAAATGACAGAAACAATACTTGAGGACTACTGATTACAAACTTAAGGAAATTTACCAATATACAAAGACATTCTTCTGTTTAATATAAGAATTTTTATGTACTATATTCTACACTATATAATATAGCTATGCTGTCCAACAGAATTGCCACTTGCCACATTTGTCCTAATGAGCACTTGAAAATACTGTTGTCCAAATTAAAATATAGAAAATAAACACTGCTATGACAACTTTGTACAAAAAAAGTGACACATCAACAATTCTTTGTATTAATTATATGCTGGAATAATATTTTGGATATATTGAGTTAAATAAAATATATTACCAAAATTAATTTCATCAGCTTTTTAATCCTTTACTGTGGCTACTGGAAAACTGAATTTGGTTCATGTTATTTAATTGTTCAGGGGTGCAATAGGTATTAAAAGCATGGAACTGTGGTATCAAGACATACACAGGTAAGAAACACATACTTAATGTGAAATTTAAAAAAAACACAGATTAAGGATTTATTCCTTCAAAATGGAAAAAAAATTTCTAACAAACTCCTTTCTCAATTTATGAAGTTAATTACAAGTTCAAGGTAAATTTACACTGTAGAATAGCTAAATGAAACTGCAATTAACATTGATTTTATGTGATTAACATATTAAAATATATAGAGTTCCACGGCAGACAGGTAGGTAAAATGTCTGTCATTAATTGTTTATAAATGACATGAGTTAATCAAGTAGACAAAGTACACAGAAAATCCTTATTTCATAAAACAAAATTACCTGTGCGGAGCAGATGAAGGTGTTTTCAACATATCCTTTATTTTTCGTTTTTTTCTCACATGGTGCTGCTTTACTGTTTTTGGCCTTTTGGGCTGAAGATTTGCTAGTTCCATTAGTTTAGTCATTCTACATTATGAAAAGGGAAGTAAAAACAAGAATTCTTCATGTAGAAGCATATAATATGAACTATAAATATAAATTATGTATGTTATATTATAAATTATGATTTATATAGCAGAAGTATAATTTCTAAGCCATCAATTAAAATAATTTACGATAAGCTCAAGTTCTGAATTTCCTAGGCCAACTTTCACCTTTAAAGGAACTGGGAATTTATTTAATTTCAATTTATCTTTTTTTTTTTTTTTTAAGATTTATTTGATACAAAGAGAGAGTGTGTGTGTGTGTGTGTGTGTGCGCACACATACACAAGCAGGGAGAGGGGCAACGGGAGAGGGAGAGAGAGAATCTTAAGCAGCCTCCCTGCTGATTGTGGAGCCCGATTCAGGGTTATCTCACAACCTGAGATCATGCATGACAGGAGCATAAACCAAGAGTCAGATGCTATTGAGCCACCCAGGTGCCCCTCAATTTATCTTTTAAAGATATGTTTTATTATGAAAATTATTAGTTGTCTAAATAAAATGGTTGTATTTGATGCCAGAAAGTTGAACAGGATACAATAATACAACCTAGGTAACTTTACTGATAGTCAAAAGACCTTACAAATACAGTGTAATTATTTTGATTCTTATTCTAATTAGAGTCTAAACTGAAGTTATTTTAAAGTATTTTCATAACTGTTGCACATTTTCATAACTGTTGCACATGAATCGTTACAGAAAAAGGATAACTTGAACAAAGTTTCAATACTATACTTTGAAGCAGCTTTTTGTAAGTAAATATCAAGGTGTGATAATTGATGCATTGTACCCAGTTTATCTTCATTACCAGTGTAAAATTTCAAATAGGTCCTGTCTAGGCATTTTTGTTATCTTCCATAGAATCAAACACAGTGTTCCTACAGAGCACAAGCTCAAAACCACTAGTCACAACTCTATTTCTACAGTTATATTTGTGAAATTTAAAGGCAAAATAAAAAGGGAGAATATGGTTAAAATAAGCTTTAAACCAAGTGAGGAAAAATGTAAACATATGAATGTGGTTAAAATAAGCTTTAAACTAAGTTACAAAAAATGTAAATACACGCTATACATTTGTAAAGCTTCTTAACAACCAATGTTTGCCAAAAATTTTATGAATAAATCCAGTTACACAAAACACGTTTCTATTCATAAATTGCTCACCCAGAATATACTAAGCCTCTGAACAGTGCCAGGCATAAATTAGATAACCAATAAATATTTGCTGAATAAATAGTATGGTTTTGTTTCATTTTACGTTTCCATAAAATAGTAGAAAAGCATGAAACCAAACACTGTTTCTTGGAAAAACTTTATTCTCATTACTCAAGATGACTTACTTGCTGAATTCTTCACTATTTCCCTAAATGGAAACCTAAATAAACAAAACAACAAAAAAAGGTTTCGGCCAGTCTGCATAAAGCATTCCTGAAACTGCTATCACTATTTTTATAAAGAAAGTAAAATTTACAGAAGTTATGTAATGAACCCAAGGCAACACTTTATACTGTTCTTTATTTATCAACAAGTTAAAGTTATAGTCTATCAAGAACTGCCAGACTTACTAAATCTCTCTCTTCAAGACACTCTATTCACCCCATTTTTGTAATTTTGGCTCCATCTACATTTTTATTTTAACTCTTTCTCTAGAAAGAATGCATACTGAGCAACTACTTAAGTTAACATTGACTCAATAATAGTCATATTGTTGCTGATTATTTGTAAATATTGCTTGGATTCTCTGCTTGGGTTTTGATTCATGTCAACCACTCCTGTATCTGACTTCTCAACATAGTTACCTAAGATTCTTAACATTTGGGGTGCCCAGCTGGCTCAACTGGTGGAGGAGGTGACTCCTGACCTTGGGGTTGTGAATTTGAGCCCCACACTGGATCTAACAATTACTTAAAAATTAGAAAAAAACCTTAAAAAAAAAAAGATTCTTATCATATGCCGATAGTGGTCTTCCAGGCTAGGGGTTACCAAATTATAGCCCTAGGACCAAAGTCAGCCAGCTGCCTCTTTCTGTGAACAGAAAGTGTTGCTAGAACACAGTCATATCCACTCATTTAGGCATTGTCTGTGACTGCTTTCCTACTACAACAGAACTCTAGCCCTATACAGAAAATATTTACATATTCCTGTTCTAGGCTATGCTGTAGATAATACACCTAAACGTTATTAACAACTTACTACTTCTCACCAGAATCTTTAAATAAAATACATGTATGGTGTCAAGAACAACCAACAACAACAAAAAAAATTCCTCTGCATTAGTTACTATGAACTATTTTGTATAAAATCCCGCAGAAATGCTCTGGAAATTTATTCTGAGGTGAATAAAATTCAGGGGAATAGCTGAAAAAAATATGGATACAATCTATTCTTATTCTTGTTATTTGAGATACTTAAGTTTTATAAAGTCTTCACAAAGAATTAGTGAATAATGAATCAATGCCCGTACCAGAAAGTCAGGATATGTTCTATGTTCTAGCATTTCACCAAATGATCAACACACACCTTGTTTCCTGTGTGTTTTTGTTTAAGGACATCTTATTTTATATACTGCTGGTTCACTAACATTGAATTCACAAAGACTATAACTCAAGCTTGAACAAGACTTATCTAACATATTTTCTCCATTAGGCACATCACAGCTTTCTTGATTTTGGAAACATCAGACAGTACCTCAACACTATGCTTGGGGACCACTTTAAACAGCAAAATCACCAGGGTACCTGGGTGGCTCAATGGGTTAAGCCTCTTGTCTTCGGCTCAGGTCATGATCTCAGAGTCCTGGGATCGATCGAGCCCTGCATCGGGCTCTCTGCTCAGCGGAGAGCCTACTTCTCCCTCCTCCTCTGCCTGCCTCTCTGCCTACTTGTGATCTCTCTCTGTCAAATAAATAAAATCTAAACAAACAAACAAACAAAAAACCCAGCAAAATCACCAACAAAAAGCATAAAAAATGTGAAAGGCTTGGTATTAAATAGACCACAAAAAGGATACTTGATTACGGTAGTGGAGCTGACATAAGACTGCATGTCACTCTGTTCTACCTCATCTAGGAATGTGCACATCAAGCAACTCAAATTTTCACCATTCTGTGCATGCCCACATTGGCAAAAAACCATAAAAACACTGTTAAGTATTGATTTGGGTGTTACAAATAAATTTTAGTATGTGGACAATTCTCAAATACGTAATCCACAAATAATGAGGATCAAATGCACTTTATAATACCATAATAATCAATCTAAAAAATTACTTATGATCCAAGAATTTTTCTTAGGTCAGATATACATTCTCAGATCTTAATCTATACCTATTATAATATGCTTGAGGGGTTGAGGGGTTGGGAGAAATTTTAATGACCCCAAATTATGGAAGAATTATGAGTTCTTATAATTCTTCTAAAGTAAAATTTAAGAAGAGCAAAAGAATCTCTCTCATATTCTGTTCCTGAAATCGAAACAAATATTATTTGATATTGCAAACCTCTGTCGGTCTTCATCATCACTGCTCTCATATTCTGATTCTATACTTGACAATTCCTCATCCTCATCTGGCAAAGGAGGTTCCTCTGGTGGCTGAGGAGATGCAGGTGGAAGAGGTGCATGTAATGGCATATAATCTTCATACTAATTAAGAGAAAAATGGTAATCATATGGTAATCTATGATATTTATAGAACAGAAAAACCATCTCCATTCAGATACTCTATTCTCATCTCTCTCCCTCATGACACATTCAACACATACTGAGAGAACACCTGCTATAGAAGACTGCTATTTGATTACAAAACTTGTTTCCTCTTCCTTGGCACCTAGCGGGAGTAAATTTCCAAACCTCCTTTGTAGCTGAATTTAACCACGTAAATGAGTTTTAACCAACAGAATGCTAGCATAAAAAAATATCCATCCATAATCCTCTCTTCCTTCTTGATCTGCAGGATGTATGGTAATGCCTTCATTATTCTGGGATATGCACATAGTAAAAACAAGTTAGGTCTTCTGAATGACTAAGTAGAATGGAAAGTCATCTGCCCTACTTTTGGAATGGAGTTGACATGCACAAGAAATCACTTATGCTGGGTTAAGTGACTAAGATTCGAGTTTTATGTTAATAGCAGCCTAAACTTAACAGATATTCCTGTAATGTGCCAGATATTGAAGTGCTGGGATTACAAAGAAAAATAGTGATGCTAGTAGTATATACATCAGAAAAAGCAGTCAATATGCAATACACAACAGCAAAGCCAATTTTCTGTTTAAATGTTAGGACCCAAAATAATTTCTCATTGCTATTCTCTAGACAATTACCAAGTACTATAACAAAATAGTAAGTAGAATAGTTCAGTAGCAGACATAGACTACTATCTAAATTACAGATATATTTTCATAGTAAATTCTGAATAGAAGTTATTAGCAACATCTCTTCTGCAAATGATGCTCTCTATATGCAATAAAACCAGAACAATGGAAATTTTACATAATTAAGTTAGATGCAATTATTTTATAAAATGGAAGAGCATTGTGGGTCAAAGGACTGAACACTGGTAGAAATGAGAGCCTCTATTACCAAAGGCATCTTTTTCACATTCTTGCATTATCCACTTAACTATTGTTAGTATATTAACTTTATACTTGTCCCTTACTTTCAATGCACATTAGAGGTTAGTGGCTCAGTATTTGTGAAGGTTAGCCTCAACAATCCCACCTCAGGAAGAGAAGTTGTGAATCTTCAAAAAAAAAAAAAAAATTTTTTTTTTCAAAGACTAGTTTATTGAGACATCTGGGTGGCTCAGTTGGTTAAGTGTCTGCTTTCGACTCAGGGTATGATCCCAGGGTTCTGGGATAAAGTCTTGCATCAGGCTCCTTGCTCAGCAGGAAGCCTGCTCTGTCCCTCTGCCTACCGCTCCCTGTACTTGTGCTCTCCCTATCTAGCTCTCTCTCTCTGACAAATAAAATCTAAAAAAAAAAAAAAAAAAAAAAAAAAAAGATTTATTTATTTATGGGTGGGGGGTAGAGGGAGAGGGATCCTTAAACAAGATTCTGCACTGAGCAGAGAGTCCAATGAAGGACTCGATCCCATGATGCTGAGATCACGATCGCAACTCAACCAACTGCACCACCCAGGTGCCCCATAAATCTTTACAATTTTAAGATATTTCTTACCATAGGAGGGCGTGCAGTAATCGGTCCAAAAGGTGTGGGTAAATTCATTTTATTCATAAGATGAAGCACCTGAAAGCAACAAAACACTGAAAATCACATAGTAAAATAATTCAACTCACATATTTTATGTACTTTAAAACTCTGCTATAACTATACTCCTGATTTGGTGCAAAAGCTGGCTACTTCTTGCTTTATCCCAGAACAGGGCTGTTACCAGTCACTGATGTATCTCAGATTACCCTTTCTAAAATGTTTGTCAATTATATAAATACTTATTCTCATTATTAAAAATACCATGTTCTTGCAATGTAAATGCTACCAAAATGTTTTATCTTTCTTCCAGTTACTATGAATTAAATAAGAAGCATATTAAAGAAAAGAAATATCATCTATAGTTTGTACTTAAAAGTATATTAGTACTGTCAATACTTTCAAGCATTTGCTGAGGGGTCCTCTGTGTTTTTTCCTTTAAGAAAGAATCTCCACATTAAAGGTGTATGATCAAGTAACAAAAATTACCAGAAGTTACACTTCCCAAATTATCTTATGTTTATTAGTATTAATACTAAACATGTTAACAAGTTTAAGCCATAGTTTATAAAAACCTTTACTCGAATATAGTAATATTTCATTTTTGCAATGGACTTAACTTCCAACCAGATACATATACTAAACCCTAACCAATGTGATGCTATCAGGAGGCAGGGTCTTTGGGAAGTAATTAGGTCACAAGGGTAGACACCCATGAATGAGATTAGTGTTCCTTATAAAAGAGACCCCAAAGAGGTCTCTCCTTTCTTCAGCTAGGTGAAGATACAAAGAGAAAACAGCCATTTGCAACCCTGGAGAGGGCCCTTACCAGAACTCAACCTTGCTGTCACCCTAATCTCACAGTTTCAATCTCCAGCACTGTGAGAAATAATTTTCTGTTGCTTATAAGCCACCTGGTCTATGGTACTTACTTATGCAAGCCCAAACTGAGAAGATACCTTTAAGATAATTGTAATACCCGTTATCTGTTAGAATTAGTCTAATTAATGCTATTATGAAAAGTAAAGAAATTAGCATGAAAAATAACTTATCAAGTTATTCAAGCATTTATTTTGGGAAAGTAAGTTTCATTCTACTTACCTGTACATAGAACTTAGGCACACTTGCCAAAGCATTTACTATGTTCGCTAGGATTGTGCTTGAAGGTGGTGGGTACATATACTTGAGGCATGAATTCAGAGGGAAAGTCAGCCTAAAAAAATATTTAAAATGCTTATCATGTTTTAGTAAGTTTCATATCAATAACGTTTTTACGTAACCTGATAAAGTACATAACTGTTCAAATAATTCAGCACTTTTAGATTTACCTTGTTCCTTATAATCCCAAATAAGTACATTTAAGAAAAAAATTGCTTTGAAGTCCCTGAGTAGCTCAGTTGGTTGAGTGTCTCCCTGTGGCTCAGGTCATGATCTCAGGGTCCTGGGATCAAGCCCCTACCCCCACCATTGGGCCATTGGGCTCCCTGCTTAGCAGGGATTCTGCTTCTCCCTCTCCCTGTCCCCCACATCCCCCCATGCTTGTGAGCACACACACTCTCAAATACGTAAAATCTTTAAAAAAGAAAAAAAAAATAACTTGCTTTCTGATTGCACTAAAGAAAAATAAGGTATTTCTTACCAGAGCTTATTTTATAGCTCTTAACATTTTAATGGACCCAAATTCAGTGACAGACTCTAATAGCTCAACATCTTTAACCAACATATTGACTGACATAATAAAATATCCTTTAAAATATCTTATTGCAATACACACACACACACACACACACACTCAGAACAACAAATCAAAAAGCAACAAACACAAACAAAAAACACTAACCCATGGTTTGGTGCAATTCCATTTTCTATGGTTAAACAACCAAGTTCTTTCTTTTCTTTATCATCTTCCACAGGATCATCACATCTATAAAATACAGAATACAAGTTGATCTTACCTTTAGAAATAGACTAAAAAATTGAGGGTTTGTTAAAACTCAGACTGTTAGGGCTTATATTCCCCTTTCCATCCCCAAATTTCAATTTCAACAGGACTAGGGTAAAGCCCCAGAATCTGTATTCCAATCAAGATCCTACATGATGCCATTGGCCCAGGGACACTCTGAGAATCACCAGTGTAAGGTAAATTTGTAAAGTTTTTGAAACTATAAAGAGTTACTGCTGGGAACCAAATACCAGTCTTCTATTTCAAAGGGCATGCCCATCCATGACACCCTGCTACCTGTAATACAAGGATTTTATACTAGTTATATTCCTCCACTTAAAGCCGAATACTTGTCACCCCACCCTCTTCCCACTTCACACTGATTACTTCTTAATATTAAATCAATACTCAGATTCCTAATGCATAATTAGGAACAAAAATAAATATAGTGTACTAGATTCAATAGAGACATGTATCACTTATTATGTCAAATTATTTACCTGCTAGTCTGAAAACAACCCAACAACAATACAATTAATTAAAAAAAAACACTTTAAAATGTTAGGAAAACCTAACTACATACCTTTTCTTTTTTTCAGTGTCTGAAGGGGGACATGGAGAATGAACTCGATCTTGCTCCTTTGCAAATTCAACAACTAAAGTATGACCTAAGAGTTTCAGCTGATGTAGTCTTGTCAATGCCTTCAGTTGGAAAAATAAGAGTAAAATATTTTATAACTGCATCAAAAGTTGTTTGTTAGAGAACATTTCCAAATAGTTTTACATGATCTTTGTGAATGCTGTTAATACTTCCCTGGCTATTTTTTACCCCTTTCCAGTCTCAGGGTGCTTAGCATTTGTCATTTACTAAGGGACTGCTTCCTACCACTTAGTAAAAGCAACATCTGGTTAAATCCAAATCTCCCTATAACTAGGCAGCTGAAAATCGTTAGAAAAACAAACATAATCAGTCTGGACTCACTTTAAACTCATGATCACAACCACAAATTTGGAGATGAAACCTAAATGATGCCACACTTACCACATTTTTAGTTAATTTCTTTCTACTAATCTCTAAGATATTATTTTGTATTTTCTCCTTGTTCCTCAGCCTCACAACATTCCTTTCCCATTCTTCTAGCCTAGGACTTTGCTTCCTACTTTGGGAAAACTGAAACAACCAGATGAGAACTTCAGATTCCCACCCTAATGCCTATCTACCAGCTAATGAATCCACATATTCAACCTTCTGTTATTATTAATTATCCACATTTTTATTTAAATCCAGTTACTTGACTTGTATACTAAATCCCACCCTCTCATCCACCCATCATCTCTTTTCAACTCTTGTTTGGGGAATGTTCTTAACTACATTACTAATTTTCTGACCTCTACTGATTCATCCATATTAGCACACAAATATGCTTCTACTTCTCCCACCCTACTTTGTTCTTATTCATCTATTGATCCCATTTTGCTCCCTTCCCCCTCTTTAATTACAGTTGCAGTAAAACTCCTTAAGAATTATTTATCTAAACCAGGGCGCCTGGGTGGCTAAGTCTGTCAAGCAGCTGTCTTTGGCTCAGGTCATGTTTCCAGGGTCCTGGGCTCAAGCCACACATTGGTCTCCCTGCTAGATGCGTAGCCTGCTTCTCCCTCTCCACTGTTTGCCCTCTCTCACGCACACTTTCTCTCGATCTTAAATATATAAAATCTTTAAAAATATTTTTTTTCTAAGCCCTCTACCTAAAATTCCTCTCCTCCCATCCAGTCTCCAACTCAAAGACAACAAATTCTGTACTGCCAAGCCAATGGTCTAATTTCAGTCTTCATTTTTATTGCATTTAACACAGTTGATCACTCCCTCCTTGGTGCATGTTCTTCATTTGATGTTAAAACATCATACTTTCCTGCAGTTTTCTTCCTAGCTCACTGGTTTCTACTCCTTAATCTCTTGGCTTTTGCCTTTTCAAACTCTAAATGTTGGCATACTCCAGGGTTCTATTATTGGTCCTCTTTCTAGCTACTATCTTAGTGATCTAATCACCATCCTAAATTTAAATCACAATGCTGTGCTAACTCCCCACTTCTTAACCTCAGCCCAAACCTGCTCCAAAGTTCAAGAAACCATATCCAAACTACCAGAAAGCTCTCCTAAGTGTCTAACAAACATTTCAAAATTGCCATTTCAGAAACTGGACCACTGATATTCTATCCTCATCCCCCCAAATGTTTTTTATGTGGAGGCTTTCACATTCAGTTGATGGTAATCCCATTCTTCCACTTACTCTTATCAAAAATATTGGAAACATACGTTAAGACTTCTTTCCCACATTGCATACCCAAACCATCAAGAAATTGTTTGCTTCCACCTTCAAAATATATCCAGAATCTAACCACTTCTTACTAACTTGGTCCAAACACCTATCGTCTCTGACCTAAATTACCACCATAACCTTTTTAGAGATTTCCCTGTTTCTACTCTTCCTGCCTCCCATCTCTTCTCAACACATCCTTTTAAAGATATAAATTAGATTATGTTACTGCTTTGCTCAAAATATTCTAGTACCTTCCCATTTTACTCAAATGTAAAATGTAAAATCCTGGATCTTTAGAGTACCTACATGATATGGCATCTATTACTTCTCTGACCTCAAATTCTAATTACATCCTCCTCATTCTGTCTGCTTCAGTCATTCTAGCTTACTTGAACATAACAGGCATTCTCCAATAATAGTGCCCTTATTCCAGCCCTTAATCAGACTAGAATGTACTTTCTCCATATATTCCCTTAGCTAATTTCACCTCCTTCAAATTATTACTTAAATATGACCCTAATCACCTTAATTACAACTTAACCATCCCCATCTCGCACTCTTGATTGTACTGCTCTTTTTCCTTTTTATTCCATAGCATTTATCATTTTCTAAAATATTAAACAATTAAGTTTATTATTTATAATCTGCCTCCCCTTTTTGAGAATATGAGCCCCAATGAGGACATAAATTTTTATTTCCTTTTTTGTAAATATTTTATTAACTGATTTATCCCGAGACCTAAAGTAGTATCTACCACATTGTAAGCATTTAATATTTTTTAATAAATAGACCTATAAGCCTTATTTAGGACTACAGTTTTATTTTACCATCTTTATGCATCCTTATTTGATTGTTTCATTTTAAAATGTTTCAATAATTTTCAAGTCCCTAAATCAATTCTAGACTTCTTCATTACCAGTGAACCTCTGATTGTCTGAAATACATGGCATCTGAGCTCAATTGCTTCAACTTTCTTGTTGGCAAAATGGGTACCAAACCTATCCTCTTCAAGGATACACAGTTTTTCACTTTTAATGTTAACTAATTTACCCATCTTGCCCAGCTACTTACTTTATTCTTAAAGATTTCTCTACCCTTGTTTTTTAAAAATCTATCAGTCACGTGCAACCTAACCTAAAAGCCATACTAATGCTATTATCTTCTCACTACTTCTCTACTACAAACATTTCCCAAAGACAATGACTGGCTCCACATCCTCTTCTCTAAGTTAATGTCGACCATAAAACAACGTGGGTTTCATTACCATATTTTATTTATAATATCTTGTGCAATATTTACAAGAATTTCTTCTGAAAAAAAAATCCTATAATGTTAAAAAATACATACAACATGAAAGTCTTCTATAATCCCACCTTGACAGAAAGACATTTATTAACAATTTGGTGTACAGCTTTGCCACATTTTTTTCCTATGCATAAACATAGGTACTACTGGATTTCCAAAAATCCATTACATCTCATACATAATGTCTGCCAACTTTATTCATGTACTCTATCAAGGCTACATTCCTTACTAATATATATTGGTTTGACCGTCATTCTTTGACAGTAGTACAGGCTACCGATGTACTATAATATAAGCTGTCCCTTCCCTTTATTGATGAGAATTTGGGTGATTTCTATTGTTTCACAATAAAAAACCCTTTACTGATTAGACTATTCATTCCTCATTTTGTGTCATCACAGTACCTCATCTTCTTAAAACTCTCTTCTCTTTGCAACCATGAAAATTTCCTTTCTAGTTCAACTTTCTTTTTAACTTCTCCCGCCCATTCTCCTTTCCTGGGTTGTCTTCCTTTGGGCAACCATATCCATTCACCTGATTCAAGAAACTCCATTTTTGACCCTGTCTTTAGAGTCATATTTTTAACTGTATTAAAAATATTTCAGGGGTGCCTGTGTGGCTCAGTTGGTTAAGCATCTGACTTCAGCTCAGGTCATAATCTCAGGATACTAGGATTGAGTCTCATATAGGATTCCCATGCAGCAGGGAGTCTGCTTCTCCCTCCTGATGCTCTGCCTCTCTCTCAAATAAATAAAAAATCTTAAAAAAAAAAATTCCCAGGGGCACCTGGGTGGCTCAGTGGGTTAAATCCCCTGCCTTCGGCTCGGGTCATGATCCCAGGGTCCTGGGATCAAGCCCAGCATCAGGCTCTCTGTTCAGCAGGGAGCCTGCTCCACTCCCACCCCCTGCCTGCCTCTCTGCTTACCTGTGATCTCTGTCAAATAAATAAATAAAATCTTTAAAAAAAAAAAAATTTCCATAGAAACAGCTCAACTCTTCAAAGTTAATATGTAACATTTGAATTCATTATCTACCTTTCCCAACATCCTTTGAATCCTGCCCTTAATGTCAGGTAATGTAATAACCCAATACCTCAGTCCAAAATCTTTTGAACAAAAATTAGTTAACAGGAAATTGCTGATAACTTTAATAGTTTGAAAAAAAAAAAAAAGTCATACCTTTATAGCTGCTTTTTCATTAGGGAAAGTAGCAAAAGCTGTATGTTTCTGAAAAAGAATTAAGGTACAAATTACTTCTGATGCAGTATCAGGTTTTCGTAAGTCTGACTTTACCAGCTGACAGTTATTTCACAAATAAATAAAGTCATGGAAAGGGATGGAAAATCAAGACCATTATAAATTTATTAATTTCAGTACTGTGGTTCTAAATCTTTTTTGGATCAGAGTTCCTTGAGATGATGATAGCTATGTAGCCTTTTATATAAAGGTGTACACACATACATACACACACACACACACACACACACACACACAGGATGCTTTATATACACTTTCAAATAGTTCAAGAGACCAGAAGTTTAAAACCCCTACTCTACCAAAAGACAACCCTTAAACAAAATATCTTAAATTTATAATACAGATTTTCCCTCTATACAGCCAAATACAAAGTTTAAAAATGTTTACCACAGAAAACCATTCCTCAAGTGCATGGTGCCTTTGTCTTTTACCCCTGCAATAAGGGGTCAGTGGGGGAAGTCTATTTTAAAATATAAACTGTAAACAGTTTAAAGATCATCAGGGAAAAAAAAAAAGGTAACTCAAAGGTAAATGAATCATTACAATGGGTAATGTTATCATTCTTAACAGCGCTTATTAAAACATTTACAAGTTGCTTGAGTATTTATATCACACATTCTAGTTTTGTCTAATCTGATCCAAGATGACATAATTACGAGTACTTAAACTGAACACATAGACTATTTGTATTTTCTGGTGTACGTGACACATTGATCAAAATTGTCAGTCTTCCCAATACTTCTCAACCCTGTTTGCATATTAGAATTACGTGAGGAGACTAAAACCACTGACGGAATCACAGACCCAGACCATCTTGCAGAAACTTCACATCACCATCACTATTTTTTTTAAAAAATTTTATTTATTTATTTCACAGACAGAGATCACAAGTAGGCAGAGGCGGGAGGGGGGGGGCACCCCCCGCCGAACAGAGGAGCCCCATGCGGGGCTGGATCCCAGGACCCCGGGATCATGACCTGAGCCGAAGGCAGAAGCTTTAACCCACTGAGCCACCCAGGTGCCCCTCACCATCACTATTTTAACGGAGAGAAATCGATCTAAAACATCTTCAGGTATAAAAGCAAATGAAATAACTGTAAATTACTGTGCAGAAACTTTTTTTCCTGTGTAGAAAACTTTAATAGTCTTAAAATATTATTCCAATGGATTCCATCAGAAAAATTTCAGAATTTTTTTCCTAAAAATTCTCGTAGAAATTCTGTAACTGCTTTACTGAAGTTACTTCTGTACTTTCTCCTGTTTTCATGAATGTCTTAACAGTGGCTTATAAATGATCCAATATTTTTAAAAAGTCCTTTGTACCTCATATCTGAGAGTACTTTGAGTCTAAAAGAAATGCTCTCAAATTCAGAGGAGTTTTGAGATTCTGAAGATGGGTCAGAAAAGGGGACAGAAGCTATTTTCCATTCTTCTCCCTTGACTTTTTCACTGCTTTTTTCTACAGCGCAGTGACTAACACAGGCTCAAGGCATTTAAAACTTGACTTGGTACGCAAGGTATTTTGACCTAAAAGAGAGAAGACAGGGAAGACCCCACTACACAAGCTCATTTTCCCAGTCTATTCTACTTCCTTCTGTCAAAGCTTCCCCCCGACCCCCTCAGTCACTAGCCCAGGGCCTTCCCCGGAGGCTTGGGACGGGCGCGCCCTTACCAGTCGTCCCTTATCTGACAGGACCCGCACCGACTGCGCCCCGAAATACTTCAGCAAGTCCTCTTTCTCTTCGGCGGTCAGTTCGGCTGGCAGGTGCCTCACTAAAAGGGTTCGGTCGCCCCGCGGTGGGGAGAGTGAGGCAGAGCTCTGGCATCCCCTTGACATGGGCGGCAGGGACTGCTCAGGGGCGGCCATTTCCAGAAAACGCAACACGGAAGGCGAAAAATAAGCACGCAGTGAAAATGCGCTAATCCACAGAAGCTGAAGATAAGAGTATTTTTCCGCCTCGCGCTAAGGATTCTGGAAACAAGGAAGTACCGCGATGGATGGTCCCTTTCTCGCGAGATTTGCGCCCCGCGGCTGACTGGTCTGCGGAGGCCGGTTCCTCAAAGTGGAGGAATCGGTTCTACACCGGTGGGAGAGCAAAGTGGTTTTGAATTCCAGGCAGCTGCTGAAGGTATTAAAGACAAAAATTTGCCATGGAGAAGCGCGAGGACTTAAAAATTTGATAAGGGGACTCAGCCGAGTGAAGGAAAAGGATGGAAGCCCAAGGACAGGAAAGAACTACGGCTGCGCTTGTGCGAGCAGGAAGCGAGTCTGGGCGTGGCGCCCGCCTGGTCGGAGCTGAGCTGAGCTCCCGGGGTTTCTTTTACGGCCAATTGCGAAAGCGCGTTTGACTGGTTGCCTGGGAAGGACGACTTGGTGTGGGATTCAGCGGTGTGTGTTTGCAATCTTGGGATTGTAAAACCTAAAGATAGCAAGTTCTTTTTTCAACTCAGTAAGGTGCGCGTAGGCAGAACTCGGTTTACGGAACAAAAAGCTAAGAAGTATGTTTGTTTGTTTTTTTTCCTTAAATCATCGTGCATATAGCAGTCTAATAGGCTCTGGCCAGTGTACATTTCAGGGAACTGGCGGTCTCTAGGGAGATGTACCCTATGAATATAAATAGTTACATAGATAAATCAGTCAATAGATATTCACATATTTAATTCTAATAACAACCTTAAGGGGTAGGTACTCCTTCCCATTTTACCTTGAGGACTTTGATGTAAAAAGTTTAAGTCACATAGCTAATAAATGGCAAAAGTGAGATTCGCCCCTGCAAGTGTGACAAGGGATTACACTTAAATCCACTATACTGTCTAGTTTCTGAATGGAGTGAGGCAGAGATCAGCCCAAGAAGAGAATCAGAAATTTCTCCCTCACTCCATACAGTGAGGGCCTTGAGGATTCTAGAGAAAGGTATTCTCTGCAGTCCGCTGCGTTCTCTACAGGGCCTGCTACAATCTAGAGACCTAAGGAACTTCTGCCTACACTTTTTATTTGCTACTTAATTAGGTGTTTAAAATATAACAGTAAACAATATATCAAACTTCCGCTTTCATAGAGCATTGTTTGAGAAGCAGAGGAGGTACAGACTTCAATAAAATCTGGAAAAAAACATGGGAAAAAAACCCCAAAATGTCAGGTATGTAGAGCCAGAACTTGATGACCCTATATGTTTGTTTGGAGTCTTGATTATGTGAAGAGTAATTGGAAATTGACAGATTTTCCTACTAAGGTTATGTATGTGTATGTGATAATTAAATTTTGGGTATGAAAATTTCTCTTTGGTTGCAGTGTGAAAAATGGAGTAGAAGCCAGAAGATAGCTGGGCTCCTACAGTAGTCCGCAAAAACAAAACAAAGCAAAACCAAAAACAAACAAACAAACAAAAAAAAAACGTTGCTTAAAATAGTTTGGTAACAGTGGATTCAAAGAGAAGAATCTGGAGTTGAGATATATTTGGGAAGTAGAATTGATAGACTTGAAGAGGAGTAGTGAAGGATAGTTCGGATGTTTAGGTTGAGCCCCAAACTGTTCACCATCTAGGTGGATGATGATGCCATTTCATTTACTGAGCATGAGAAGAGGGAGTAAAGTTTAGCTAGATTAGGGACTGCTGGGAAGGGTGGGAAAGGGAGGAATACATATTCAATTTAAGGTATCTCGACAACATCCGTATTTTAGAGAGATATCAAGACAGGATGCACATACAGCATCAACCCATATAATATTTATATCCAAGGGATGAGAGAGTGTAGGCAGGGAGAGAGGGGCCCAGTATTGATTGATGGGGCATGCCAATGTTGAGAATTGGAGGAAAGAGGAAGAACAAGATAGTAATCCTTTCTCTCTTGGCATTCACATTCTAGTAGGAAAGACAGACCATAACATGTAGATGAGTAATTAAGTTCCTTTGGAGAGTAATACGTGCTGTAGGGGGAGAAATAGAGACAGAGTAGAGGAATAAACTGTGATTGCAGACATGCTACTTTAAACACTATCCTTTGTAGGCTTTTGTCTGTGTCTTTTACTATTAGTAAAATGATCAGCATATAATAGATATAAAAATACATGTTCAGTGAATGAATGGGGGAATGGATTACCTTTAATATTTACAACTGCCTCTTTTGGTCAAGAATTGCTTCATAGGCCATCAAGATAAATTTAATGGGCTTTATTTGTTATAATTGAGATACCACAACTCGTTTGGATAGTAAAGGGACAAAATTTTATTTTCTCTCCACTTAATTACTTTTAGTTGTACTGACTTAAATCTGTTTTATCCTTTTCTTGTCAATAGCTCAGGCAAATTTCATAATTTCCTACTCACTTTTAGTTAATAGTCCCAGTGGGCTCAAAATATCAACTCTGAATTACATTCAGCCCTCGCTTTTTGCTCTCTTCTCATATCAGCCTTCGCCTAAGAGATAAGAAGAAGATATAATTTGCTTTCAGCTCTCCCACGTTTGGGTAGAAGTGGGTGTGGTCTGCTCTGTGTTGCACATTTCTCAATTTTCTTTTCTTGAGATACCACAGAGGTTCCCAAACTTTCTCAGCTTATAGTGCTTTTACTGTCTCCATAGTTTTTTTAACAGCATCTCTTGGTGCCTCCTCACTTCCTGTTCCACCCGATTTTCAAGAGATGCCTGTTCTTTATCAAAGCAACAGGGCGGGGGAAAAAAACAGCTTTGCAAAGATTCTTAAATTCAAAAATATTTCAAGCTGGTGATCATGTAGTATCTGGCAGATAATGAGTATTGCTGTTTCCCTCAAATATTTAAAATATTCCATAATAGGTGCATCTGGCTGGCTCAGTTTTGATCTTGGGATCATGAGTTCAACTCCCACGTTGAGTGTGGAGATTACCAAATATATATATTCCATAGCACCTCTGTGAGGTAGCTGGGGCACCTGGGACACCTCAACACATAGTTTGAGAACTATGGCTCTATACTACTTTATGGTTTTGATTTTCTTCATTGCAAGGTAAGAGGAGGGAAAGTTAGAATTTGGGAGTATCTTACTTCAGTGACCAAAAGTTGGTTCTTTATCTCACTCTGATTATCTCTGGTTCTGTCTGTTCATAGAAGCCTCTGCTAATGTGGTTTTTTAGAGGTTCATATTCATCAGCTCCCTCTCCATTAGTCACTGGGTACCTTTTCAGTTAAGAGTAGCTTCCCCCTCCCCTTCAGCCTTTACTTTGGTTTAGTTTTCATCTCCAGTTTACCTCACTTAGCCATGTGTCTATTTGGGCATTCCTTTCAGTTTCCAAGCCCTTTAATTTTTCTCATGAAGCCAGGAGAACTTCTGGGACCTATTTCTACTATTTCTGGAAGGGCTTGGAGAACTAACCTAAGAAAAGAATTTACTCTTTTTTTTTTTTTTTTTCGGTTTTTTGGTTTGGTTTGGTTTTACTTAATATACAATTGATATAGACCATTATATTATTTTCAGGTATGCAACATAATGACATGTTTGTATACAGTGCAAAATGTTCACCACAAGTCTAGTTTACATCCATCCATCATACATAGTTTCAATTTTTTTTTCTTATGATGAGAACTTTTGAGATATACTCTCTTAGCAACTTTCAAATATGTAATACAGTATTAACTATAGTCACCATGCTGTACATGACATCCCCAGGATTTATTTATTTTATTATTAGAAGTTTATATCTTGACACCCTTCACCAGTTTCTCCATCCCTTATTCCTGGCTCTAGCAATCACCAATCTATTCTTTGTATCTGTGAGCTTGGTTTTGTTTTGTTTTTGAGTCTCCATATGAGATCAGATGACATTTGTCTTTCTGTGTCTGACCTATTTCACTGAGCAAAATGCCCTTGAGATCCATCCATTTTGCCACAAATGGTAAGATTTCCTTCATTTTTATTTCTGAAAAAACATTTCAGAATATTTCATTATCTATCACATGTTCTTTATCCATCCATTCATTCAGGGATGTATAGGTTGTTTAGCATGTATCTTGTCTATTGTAAGTAATACTGCAGTGGATATGGGGATACATTTATCTTTTTTAGTTAGTTTTCTTCAGCTAAGTACCCAGAAGTGGATTTGGATAGCTATATCTTTAATTTTTTAAGGAGTCCCCATACTGTTTTCCATAGTGGCTGTATCAGTATACATTTTTGCCAACAGTGCACAAGGGTTCCCTCTTCTCCAGGTCCTTGCCAACACCCTTCCTTCCTTCCTTCTTTCTTTTTTATGATAATACCCATTCTAAAATGCATTAGTTGATATTTCATTGTGGTTTTGATTTGCATTTCCCTAAAGATTACTGAAGTTAAGCATTTTTGTGTATCTGTTAGCCATCAGTATGTTGTCTTTGGAAAAATGTCTACTTAGATTTTCTGCTTATTATAATTGTGTATGTTTTGCTATTCAGTTCTCTGAATTCCTTTCCTAATTTTTTTGCTAAAAGCATTCTCCTCTTCCTTCATAGCCAAACTTCTAGAGAGATGATGTGGGAAGTAAAGAAACATTAAATTTCTTTACTATTCACACCAGCCCATTAACAAGTCCTTGGAACAGGTTAACAGTCCTCTAGGACTCACCTCAACGTCTTGCTTCAAAAATTCCTTAGAGACTTTTGCTATTTCTAACCACCTCCCAACTTGAAAGTATATAATCAGCCACTCCTCATGACCCCAGTGCAGCTCTTTGTGTCCAGAGGTCCTGTCTCTCTGCTTTAATAAAACCACCTTACTGCACTAAAGACATTTCAAGAGTTATTTCTTGGGTGTTGGCTCGAAACCTCAACATCTTTCCTGCATCAAGAGACATAAGTTATCCTTATTTGTTTACCTTGTACTCACTCCAAAATGCACTTCTATCTGACTCCTGATTCCTTCAGTCCATAAAGTAATTCTTGCTACAGTCAACAGTTATCTCCAAAT